TATAATAATATTTCAATTTAACAGCTTATTGGGAAAAGTTCATCATGAAGTACCGATTTAAGGTTTTGTTTCGAACAATGTTAGAAAAACAATTCTAGCTATTTAAGTGAATTTTGTATATTACTTTTGTCATTTTAAGATACTTTTGTTGTTTTAATTTGTAAATCTATTAATATAATATACATCATTATTATCGATTGATTTTTTCTTATAATCTCCTATATACGAATATTCCACCTTCTATAGTCAAATTTCATTCAAGCAAAAATGTCTCTATCATGCTTCACCTTATTGGGTTCTTACTATTCGTTCTCTAAAATACGCTTTCTTTAACCACAAAAATAATTAATGGCTGTTAGCGCGAGAGATGAAAAGCGATTTTGCAAACGTCAGATACAAATGCAAAATAAATAAAGATTAGGAATAAATTGAATGTCTTAAAACTCATATAGTTCAGGGACCAAAACCAAAATTTACTCTATAATAAATAAATTCGACTTCTTTTTGAACAACAGGATTTTATAAAAATCACTCTTAGCATTAAGAGGCAAACAAGGTACATCAGAAATAAGAACGGACTCATTACGTTCCAAAAAGAGGGTTGTTATGCTACACCACCCAAATCAATTTAGGGGCCGTTTACCAACAAACTTACCCGGGTAAGTATTTACCAAGTGATATTACCTCACCCGATGAATATGATAAGGATCAAGAATCTTACCCGGTAAGAGTGAGACAAGGAGCATGAGTCTTACCCGGTAAGTGAAGACGAACGATTCTTACCATGGTAAACGTTTACCGGGTAAATTGTTGCATATGATGTCGTTCTGGTGGACTAAAATCTTACCCGTTAGTGTAAGCACTTATCGAGTAAGTGTTTTGTAAACGACCCCTTAGCCTTTTGATCTATTTTCACTTTTTGTTTATAAACATTGTTTCTAAAAAATCCAAAAGATGGTATGCTTTTTAGGGATGAACAAATAGACAAAACAAGTATATATAGAATGGTTCTGTTTTGCATTTAAAATGTAATTTTATTCAAAATAATCTCTTATTTATATGTTATGAACGCGAAATTTGTAAAGAGAAAACATGAAATCATTCAAACAACGAATTAACTTTACAATTTACATGCATTGTTATACTCATAGACAAGTCGTAAGAGTATTATTTAGAAAAAAAAAATTGAGTAATTAACTTAATTAATTAATATACAATGTCAACAAGGACATGGGCATGTTAAGACACTCGTATTCAATATTTATTCATAAAAATTATCAAGTTATCATTATATTTGTATCGTTGGGTGTAATATATTTTGTTTTTCTCCCCATACTCGAGATTACTGTCACTTTAACTCCCTCCGATTTGTACAAAACGATGACATTCATGCATATGTGGTCTTTGTCCTTGAAAACCTACTAGTCATGTGCTAGAGACCGACTAATTTGATAGAATTTATACATGAATTTTGTATAAGAACGGTTCTTAAATGTAACATAGGTATGGTTCTTAAATGTAACAAGTATTAGTTTACACTATTAATTAAGATACTTATTGAGTTGCATGTGTTTTTTCTTTGTCACCAACAGTGTTGGAAAATAAACTCTAAATTACTGTGAAAATAATATATCAGAATAAATATAAATATTTTAAAACCAAAATTACCACAAATTTTTCATAAGTGGCATACGTTGATGCATGATGCATGCACTTAGGTGATAGAAAAGGAAGGTACGATAATGAAAGGATACTGTATTCATAATGGTCATCTTTATAATTTGTGGTTGAAGCTTACCCTTTAATTTTCCATGTAAAGCATAAACACTTTGCAATTGCAATGCATGCTCGGAGCAATAGCATCTTGTTTCCAAAAGCAAGCAAAGTTCATCTTGAACTCAAATGGCTTCTAAGTGGTTACCCATATGATATCTCTTGCATCTTGGGTGCTTCAATAAAGGGAAAAGGACCAAAGATAGATGGATACATAAATTTGCAAAATGATCACCCATAATCCATAGGGTTTGGTTCTTAAGTTCATTTGAAAGTACCTCTAAGGTGCACATGATCTATTTCACAACACTCCAATCCTAATTGCCTGGATTTGATATATAATGATCCTCGGATCGACTTACCATCCATAATTTCATGAGAAATGTCTAGTCGAGTGTAGAACATGGCATCCATTAAGCTTCTTACCCTTGATGAGTAGGGAACTCTGCTCATTTCTTCAAATGTTTTTTGATAGTGGGACTTTGTACTCATACTAAAATGTACAACAAGCTGAGAACTGTATATATATATATATATATACATACATATATCATGTTTAACTTTTTCAATACTGAACATTTTAAACATCATCTCTATGTAATTATCTAGCGACATGGACAATTGTTTCTTCTCTTTGTTCTGGTATATATATATATATATATACACGAATATCCATAATTTGCTTTCCAAAACCCCAAATCTTTCATATGATCAAAAGCCTTCCTTGCTTAATTGTTACTCCAATTCATCAATTGTAAATGAGTTTGGCCTACAATTTACATGTTATCCACATAGAGTAAATCATTCGAGTGTTGAATACATAATGTCGAGAAGTCATCTTCTTGAAGCCTTACTTTCCCATAAACGAATCAGACTTTCTGTACCATTTTCTTGGTGCTTGCATTAGCCTGTAAAGAATTTTTTAGTAGATATACATAATATTCTTTGCCTTCTTTTAACAAACCCTTCGTGTGTCTCCTATAAATGTCTTCCTTTACCTAGATTGGCTCTAATACCACTTTTTGGGAGGAAACCACATTTGACCAAAACATAACGAACTCAAACCCAATTGTGGAACACCAATCCCCCTATTTGTATAACCGTGGTAACCAAATAGAGAAATAAGTAAAAGCAATCAAATTGCAATAGAGGCAATCGATTTTAATGTGGAAAAATATTCTCGGTTGAATGGAAAAAACCACAATAATCTTCCACTGTAATCAAAACGATAGGATAAAATGTTCTCTCCGACATGATCCTAGGAGCGTAACACATCTCAAAGAAGACAATGTTAGAGTCCCACATCGGCTAGACTTGGACAAATTCCCCTTTATATATGTTGGAACATTCCTTCTCTCCTCAAGGTCTCTTTTGGAGATTAATCTGAAGTTTCACATATTCTCATATGGTAGTAAAAGCCAAGGTCTACCATTCTAGGGACTCAATACTATGGGGTAATTTCCTGGCCCTTCACCCGCCTAGCCCTCCATCGACACTCTGGGACCTTTGTTGGAGGGGGCGTGTTAGAGTACACTTTTAGAGAGTAAATTTGAGGTTCCAAATCTCATATAGTATCATAGCGCAATATATACTCGTCTAGCTCCCTATATAATATGTTTAATTAACCCCCTCTCAAAACACTAGGACAATTTGTGCCTAGCTAGCGTTCATTGGAAGAGGCGTGTTAAAATCACATATCAGCTAGACTTTGGACCATTCTTATCAATATATGTTGGAACTCCTCTTCTCAAATCCGATATCCCCATTCATAAATGAAAACCCTTTATTCCAGCCTCTCCACAAAATTTTAGCTCGATTCTACGGTTTAATTTACGCACGAGACTAAAAACAGAAACAATGCAATTAGTTGAACGAAAACTTTGTTTTTCTATCTCGTTCTATGTTTTTGCCTCACTCTCTCCACCCTAATGATAAGGGATTAAAAGGTATATATCTCTTTTTATGGGCACGCATATACCATAAAGCAAAACATGTTGGACCCCCTTAAATTGATAAGGGAATAACACAACACTTTCTTGACCCGAATCAATGTCAAGATTCCTTCAAGAACATGTCGTGAACTTGTCTATAATTAAGTAGCAGCTATTCAGCTCACAAAACCCTAATCAATGCCGATTTGTTTCTCCGTGTAGATCAAGAGATCTTTCAAATTAACTAAGATAATTTGTACACGGTTAACCAAGTCGATCTATCAAGAATTGTGGGTTTGAAGCTTTAACTAACAAGTTGTGTAGGTATTAATTTTTCTTTATTGTAATTATACTCTCTCAAAAAACATATATTCATTATATGTGTCAGGTCAAGATCAATATAATCGTACATTTAACATTCTCATTGGGACTCACGAGTCCAATCATAGGACTTGAAGTTTACCAAACGACTTGTTGATACAAAAAAAAATCAATGTGAAAAAAATATTCTTGTTTTTTACCCGCCCACAAAAAAAGGTTTGTGTTGTAATAAAGAAAGAAAGCAAAAAGAAAAAGGAAAAGAGAGTGAGAGAGACTAGACATGTAGAGAGAATGCTAATGAACGGTAGGATTTTAATTAATTAAAAGTGTGATATCTTACAGCCGTAGGATTTTAAGAAAAAATTAACTTATAAAAATCAAGTCTTTAATTCATTAAGTTTGATGAGATTAGATGTTGTTGAGCAGAAGTCTGGTAGCGATTAGTGAAGGGTTTCCAAAAAAGGATTCTAACCCTGATTACAAACTTTATAATTGTAAAAGATTGATCCCACCATCCCACTATCATAACGTGGATTTCACACGTTAACCTACATATGCATATATATATATATATATATATATATATATATATATATATATATATTTTATGTATACAAATACATCACAATCACACGTTTTCTAGCTTGTCATCATCCATGCATGCACATATATTCATATGTGTATACATGCATGGACCGGTCATATTTTTTCTCTTTTTTTATCGGAGCACTAAGATGCAGTCGTATCACACTGTATTTCTGAGAAAGCTTCATGGCTAAGAAACTTCCACCTCCCACTCCCATGAACCCTAATTATTATAATATATACAAAAAGAGAGATGCAAAAATGGAATTATTTAAAATACTAAAAAGAAATCAAAGAATATTAAGCATTTCAAAGCCTCCTACTCCTCTTCATCGTCTTCTCTTTTTTCCTTCCTTCATTCTCTCTCTCTCTCTCTCACTACACTCTTGTATAATTTCTCTAGTTTTTGATTCTTGCCCATGTATTTCCGTAAATCCCTTGAAACTTTCTAAAAGAGAAAAAAAGATCAAATTCAGACCATGGTTTTCTCATCTGTTACACCCTTTCTAGATCACCACAATTGGCATCAACAGGTATGATCTTTAAGCTTCTCCCCTTTGGTATAATTTCTTTATCTTTATCTTTTCTTCTTAATTCTACATCCAATCAACATTAAAAGGAGAGAGCATATATGTAAAGAAGATGATGCATATGTATGTATGTATGTATGTATGTGTGTGTGTGTGTATATATCCTCTTTACATCTCTTCTGTGTTGAATATACCATGTTAGTATAAGTACCTTTAATTAGCTTTGTGTTATTGTGTTTTATGATCAGTTGCAACAATCAAACCATCAACAAGGAAGTGGTGGTGGAGGTGAAAACCCTAATTTTCAGCCACCACTGGCGCCTCCACAACATGGAGGTGGTGGTGGTGGTGGTGAAGGATCAATTCGACCAGGATCTATGGTGGATCGAGCCAGATTAGCCAAGCTACCCATGCCTGAGCCAGGATTAAACTGCCCTCGTTGTGATTCCACCAACACCAAATTTTGCTACTTCAACAACTACAGCCTCACACAGCCTCGGCACTTTTGCAAGACGTGCAGGCGCTATTGGACACGAGGTGGTGCTCTAAGGAATGTTCCTGTTGGAGGAGGTTGTAGGAGGAACAAAAGAAGTAACAAAAGCAGCAGAAACTCGAAATCCCCAAGCCAAAAAGGAGCTAAATCCATAAGTGGGAGTCCATCAAGATGTAGCACGGAAAACATAGCAACAAGTGCTCAACTTTCACATCCACCCTCTCTTCAATTGCCCTTCATGAACTCATATGGAGGCGTTGCTGGCAATATTACATCAAATCTTGGTGGATTTCATACTCAAAATGAAATGGGTAACTTCCAACTAGGAACTGGTAGCTCAAATGCAAATAATTTCAGTAACATTTTATCAATTGGAAGTGGTGAGAGTTGGAGATTGCCATTCTTGGCTGGAATCGAGATACCTAATAGTAGCAACTTATTTCACTATCAAAATGAAGGAGCAGTTGAAGCACCATCTTCAATGACCGAGAACTCTCAGGCAGACCCTCCGGTGAAAGTTGAAGCAAACCGAGGTCTGAATTTATCAAGACAAATTCTTGGGGTTTCTGAGCACACTAATCAACAACCATGGCCAGTGGGAAATACATGGGCTGACTTTTCTGGCGTCAATACTTCTTCAACTCCAACAACACATTTCATATAATCTCACTCTTTGGGGAACTTCTTTGATCTACTGATGACTTTGAAGTACTCAATTGAGTTAACTTGGACTCTCCAAACCCTAGATAACCACCAAGATGTGATGATCTTGCTCAAGATTGATTAGTTATGGTTTCATGTCTCATGAATGCTTGATTGCTGAAGAATCGAAGAGAAACAATGGTAGGTTTGTGGTAATCAATTTGAATGTGTTGATTAGTAGTATATCGTGCTTGTAATTCTACTAATATGTTTTGCGAGTTCATTTACTTGTACTTAATGTAGAATTAATGTTTTTATTAATTTGTGTGCAAGCATGTGTGCTGTTTCTTTATTGTGTTATGTACTCATATATAATTAATGATGATTAGCTGTTAATCTAACAACAATGGTTTCTTAATTAGTCTGAATCTAACTTCAATTCGTATCCCATATGCAATCAATCTCCCAAGAACTTATTTTACACTAAGAATAGAATCATGGAGGCCATTATGCATATAACATATTCGATCATCTTGTTTGGATGATAAGTTGTATCTCCATTCCTAATAATCGAATTTGTGTAATATGGGCAAACTAATGTATCACAACCCTCAAATATTACACCAGATAGTCGTATTCATTGCAAATAAACCGCTGGTCTATACTGAAATTGCAAAAAGAATGTTACACTTAGCAGGAACTAGTATTTTGAACAAAAATTGTAAGTAATTATATTTGTGATTTTGATAATAAACATAGAATCCAAAGATTCTTCTAGAATTATGATAAAATGCAGAATGAAGCTCTTAAATTTCTTTTGCCAACAGTACAAAAAAGAAATGCATAAAACCGACCATCGATCAACCTAGCCCAAATTACGTCAGTTTTCATGTTCTTCCGATCAGTATTCTTGGTCAGTCATCTAGGTAACAAAAAGGAAAGGAACTGACTAGCCTGCATGGGGGTGAAGGTAGAATTAAGGCAGATGATATCTTATTTGATCACTACGTTATAATCAAACTTATGGTCTTTGATCTTTAATTAATATATATATATATATATATATATCCTTGAAATTAAATTAATTTGCGTACTGCCATATATACTGGTAGCTGGTTATAATACTATATACTCTTTTTCACTTAAAAGGTAGAAGTGAATAGCAATAGATAGCTACAAAAGTTTTCACCTTTCGTAGAATATCAGATATTTAAATATACTTCTCTACAAAAATTCAAATAAAAAATCTTATGAAACCAACTAATGTGTTTAAATATCTTGTACGATGAAAACAAATATACGTGTGTGTATATATATATATATATAAGTAATGTGCATTGAAATTTTAAATGGCTGCAGTTGGACATCTTGAAAAAGATAATGGTGGAAATTAACCAATATATAGTTTAAAGTAATTTTGGATATCAATAAAAACGAAAGGTTGTTGAGAATTGATCGAAATAATGACGTAGTAATAGCTAGTAAAAATTAAGCAGGAGGACAGCAGCAATCAAGAGAATGTTGTACGTATGTCGTAGGATCAACTCTTTTGAAAGCTCCAATAATTGCCACTCAAAACCATGCAAATATTACAACCCTAAGTTCTCTCGGTGTTCTCAGTTTGAGAGAGATGATGATGATAATGATCTAGAAGAGGTTATTGGAAAGAATAATATAGCACAATTATGAATTCAAAAGGAACATATCTGGTACATTGCCATCATGTTTTGAGAGAACCCCATCTCTCTCTCTCTCTCTAATCTCTCTCTCTCTCTCTCACTCTCTCACTATATATATATATATATATATATCTTTTGCTGTGGAAAAGTAAAAGGAGTACGTAGTTTGAGAGAAAATCTTGCAGGCTCATGATCTTAACGAAAATGAAAAGTGAAGGGTAATCCGTTGAAAACAGATAGGAAAAAGGGTTAAAGAAGAAGAAAGAAATTAAACGAGTGTGTATGAGAGTGATTTAATTTGGCAGTCTAAAAAGAAAGGAATCTGAGAGATTTTTTGCTTTATTAAAAGACCAAACATAATGACCCTCTGCCAATAAAGTGTTATATACCAACCCAACCCAAAGCTAAAATTAGTCTCAGATCTCCTCCTTTCAAGCTCTACCTAGCTCCAGTCTTAAACATATATAACAAATGTAAAATGTCTTTTATTCAGCTTGCATAGCGGGTTAGATATCTAAGTTAATAAAAAAAGGTCAAAAGTGTTATATATATATATATATATATATATATACATAGTCTCTCACTGAGTACCAAAAACCTATTAGGAGTTGGTAGGTTAAGGTCACGTCTTGTTTCATAAGTTCTTGTATATATATGCCAACATTTTCTAAGCTACAGAACCTCTTTAAGTTGGGTGCTAATCCATCTTTGATGGCATTCTCTGGTCCTCCTCATATTAGGGCTTTATAGCTTAATTACTTTAAACCCAAGGAATTGAAATTACCTAAAACTAGTGTAAGCACCGCATGTTAAATATATTGATCATTTATATTGCACAAGAATATATTGCACAACCATATATAAACTCTTCCTTACTTCTTATAGCAACCTCCATTCTCCAATCAAGTATTTTTCTCATCAATATAAGATGATTAAAACAAAACCACAATGCAAGATTCGAAAATACTCAAAATCTCATAATATCACCTCAAATACCCTTGGTTATTTCTTTTATACATATACATATATAAAGACTTTTATGTTTATAAATACATATATATATATATATATATATATAGAGAGAGAGAGAGAGAGAGAGAGATGACGTTTCAAAATGCAACCCATCACATTTATACAACCAATACAACCTAATCAATTGAGATACTTATGGAAATGATAAGTTTATTTATTATGATTTGAATATTTATGGAAAAAAGGTTCATTAATTATGATCAATATTTTATATTATGAAACAATCAAATTTTTTATGAAATCACATATTTATCAAATTAAATGGACGATTGAGATTGAGTTGTTTTGATTGTACAAATGTAAAATGTTGCATAGTAACTCACTCCTCTCTCTCTCTCTCTCTATATATATATATGAAGATTTATGTCATAGTTTTGTTAAATTTCTCTATTGAGGGTTGGTGAAAAACATTTTAATTCAAATAAACCTTTTTATTATTGAAGTCATCCCCCTTTCTTTATTATAGTCATCATCATTTTTAAGTCTAATATTCTCTCATGAAGTTAAATGCTTATTTTGAAGTTAAAACAACAATGAACCATCTTAGACACATAAATATTTGTGTTACATTCTTTGGTTAAAAAATAAATGTAATTATCCAATAACTCATTTTTAGTTATAATAAACAAAAAACAATCAATAGATTATTTGTAATATTGTTTTAATGTTTTTATTTTAACTTTAATATAAAATATCTAATATTGTCACTTGATTACCCTTCGTTGTTGTTTTAAAGTTTATTGATATAAAATATTTTTTATATATAAACAGAATTTTTGTAAAAAATAATGGTAAGTTAAAATAAACCAGCTCTATTAGTTAAAATAAAGACTTTTTAATTACCTATATAAATATATTTTTTTTTTTTTTGCAAAAAATAGGGAGGGCTAAATTGAGTCAAACTCATGAGTTACGCAAAAACACTCACCCCTCATTTCATATACTCATTCCCTAGTTCTAATATTGCATCTTATCACTAATGCGGGATGATAAAACCCAACCAGTCTTGCATCTTATCATTAATGTGAGATGATAAAACTCAACCAGTCTTGCATCTTATCACTAATTAATGTGGGATGATAAAATTCAATCATATTTTAATATTTGAAAATACTCAAACCTTATGTTGCCAAATCATAATCCATATATCTATTGATGATTGATATATATATATATATATATATATATATATATATATATATATAGATTCGCTTTAATCCATTACTTGGAGGGAGATGCAACATGTTTAACCAACCAATTTTGTTAATTTTCAAGCATATCTAATCCTTTAACGTATATACATAACTACATCTTCCAATCAAATATTTCCACTTTAGAATTTGATAATTGAATAAGATTTATAACGTGGTCCCTTATTGTAACTCATTTTATTTTGTTTAGAAAGAGCATTATCTCCCATTTTGTTTGTATATCATCTTCTATTTATGTGCGATAATTATAACCCAATATTAACTTAAAATTTACAAATTCCTATTCATCCATACATCATATTATTAGTCGTTTGGTAATATCACCTCCTTAACTCATTTGAGCCAACACAATGACTTACTACAAAACAATGGCTTCCTTCTTTCGTATGCACACTTCCTTCCTTCATTTTCCTTTTTCTCACCAATGTAGGATAAACAAACTTAAATACATTTCTAGATTAATTTCAAGATTTGAAGAATACTCAAATCTCGTAATGCCAAGTCGTCATCTTTGGTTCATCTTCTAATATATATATATATATATATATATATATATATATATATATAGG